TACGTTCCAATTTATTAGGAATCCGATTTCTTACAAGTCGTTCCAATCACAGCCCGACACGTGTCAAGTTTACGGACTACGGCTGATTGAAAGGTTTTCTTCCATAAAATTAATCGATTCTACACTAATCCGACTCAACATTTCCAAAATACGTATATTTTTTCGTAGTTTTATAGGAATCGTAATTATAGGGACCGTAATTATAGGGGGGTCGACTGTAGTCTTCGTTAGGCTTAACATCGACGAAAATTCAACGCGAAGTAACATGCAATGGAGAAAAATGTCAAGATGTGATAAATTAATATATTTTTTCGTACACAATCGGTTATCCGAAACATCAATCTTCCGAACAACCCCAGTCCCCAATTGATTTGGATAATCGACGCTCTACTGTATTTTATAAAATTAGCTAACTTTTTCTGTAACAGTATTTTAACATTGTAAAAATGAATTAAACAGACCATTTCCAGTTTAAGAAGTAAAATAATTAATATTTCAATTTTACATTATACAACAAAATTAAATAATTTATTCAAACTTAATTATAATTTAATATCTGTAGTTCTGCAAATTAATAATTATCATTTTTAATTATACATTTGTATTAGTTTTTTCTGTATTTCATTTTTAATTTACTGAGAACTAGCTGCCTATGGCCATAGTTGCTTGGACTTTTGAGGGAATGGCAAATTGGTGAAGTTAAGTTGGAAGAGGGTGAAAAAACAATAATATCAGTAAATTAAAATGTATATTTGTTGATCTTGGTATTTACAATAACAAAACTGCAAAACCCAAAAAATTGTTTAGATTAAAGTTAATAGGAGATGGAACCTGATATATTGTACTTTGCTATGTCTGAACCATTGCACATTTCTCAAATCTCTCTTCAGCTGCATCATCTGCAAGATAATTGTTTTAATTTTATATCTGAACCATAGTTTTAGCCCCAGCATTTTACTCAAAGTAAGTCAGACAAACTGAAACCCTCTTTCAATTAATTTATTGAAAATATTTGATATACTTNTGTAATAAATAATATTAAAATACTAATATATCTAAAAAAAGTAAAATAAAAGCCAAATAGAAATTTATTTAGAAAACAGATAAAATAATATCTAATATATTTTCCCCCCCTTTCTTTTTTCTCATTTTTTATCATGTGGATACAAAGAGAGCATTTTTAATAATACCAATGATACTAAATTTAGATCAATATTGATCAAAGTTGATGAACACAAAAAATCTGGAAAATCAGAAAATAATAAGATGAAAATAAAGAGAAAAAGAATAATATTGAGAAACTAGAGTATAGCAATGAAGAAAGTGATATTATGATTCTTTTGATAACAAATTAAATCATTTTTCATTTTTATAATACACTAGCAGATAAGCCTGGCATTGCTTGGGCAAAAAGTAACAATAGTGAAGATTAAGATTATTACATTACACAGAATGCAAGAATTAGGTTCCCCTGTTTCCAGACTAATTAGAACATTTTTAGATGGGTCTAAATTATGTTTGATTTAACGCAAAAAACCACATCTGCGCCTGTAAATCTTGCACATTGCTTTCTCTTAACTCTTCCATTGTTGAAGCCTTAATCCCGTCCCTTTCCTCGTGTGGGGGGAATTTCAAAAAATCCCTCGTTAGTGTGCATTCTCGTGAACCACTTCCTGATTTTAAGGAAGTTACATAAGAAAGTAGCCAATACTAACAATCTTACACTGATAGACAAGCACAATCCTACCATATTCAAAATTTTAAGAAATGATAAGCTATCATATGATCACAACACTGCCTCTAGGATTTATTCTATCCCAACAGAAAACCATTATTTTGCAACAAAACTTATTTACATAGGCACTACTATGCTTAATCTGGGATGAAGAATCAACTGCAATTGACAAGAATCTATCTAACACAACATTAGCAGCTAAAGCTTGCCACCATGACATATGTGTGAATTGGCAATAAGCAATCAGGCCTACCACTAATATCAGTGTTCTTAACCACTTAGAAAAATTAGATTTATAGAGCTAATATGAATTCCATTTGCATTAATCATTGGGATGCAGACACACACTTGAATGCTTGGTACTCAGTTTATGAAATTTTATCAGTTCCATGTTTTATTTATATTGCTTCGTATTAATTCATAAACTACGGGTAACCCCCGTATAACACGGCACTTCTATAGCACGGATTCACTCTGACACGGTTCGAGAATTGGGTAAAACCCTCGTACAACATGAAATGTAATAAATTTTTACATACTTAACTAATAATAGTTCACGAAAANATAATTTATAATGTGTAGTAGCTAATAAATATATAAATAATTTAATATAAAATAAATTTTATATTTAATTTTACCTGCTCTAATTTGACCATGCCTATTAATTCTCAAAAGACCTTTCTTCTTTACTATAAAGCTTGAACCAATAAACAAACTAGAACTGACGGCCAGACTCAGTCCAATATAAAAATTTTTCTTATTTTCAATTTGAGTTGAATTGATGCTGAGTTCTCTGCATTTTTCCAATACAGCTGTATCATTACAATAAATATTTTGTAAAGATCCAAGCATGCTTGAAGGTGACATGTTCATATCGTCATGCTAAAAATAAGAGAGAGAAATAAATAAATATTTTGAATTAATGATTAAAAATTTGAATAATTAAAATAAATTAGATTAGTAAGGTTTAAATAAATTTTTTTTAAGTTTCTCAAAAATAATTACAGTAATCACTTTTATACTGCAATTTTATTAAAGCAATAATTATCCAAAACACTGATTTTAGTATAAAAAATTTATTTGAGAATCCTACAAAATGAGCACTGATGATGATTTACTGGTCTGGATCTCAGATTTTGGTTCTGTTCAGTGATCAGTTTATTCATGAAAACAAATTGATTTCTCATCCCTAATCCTTGGATTTTTATGTAATTACATATTTTTCATTTTAAAATGAAATGTACATAATAGGAATTGCATTACCAGTAAGCAATTTACTGGTAATCAATTAAAACATGCATGCATAATATATTGTACTAGTAATTTTATACTTTTTACTGGTAAATTCAATAAAAATAAGAAAACATGTAATAATGTTTTTGAAGCCAAATGTTTAATTGTATGTACAGTACTTTTGCATACATTTATATTTTTATATTTTAAAGATAGAAGCAACAAATTTATTTATTTAAACAATAAAATTAGTTTACATCATTTGTCATTTAAAAGTTGTTAAGAACTGTAAAGTGTAATATTATCCCAACTTATTATTGCAGAAACCGCTTGTGGCCTTGTGCTTCTTTGTTGTTTTGCTCTTATCCATCTCATTGCATCTTATCCATCTCACCAATAAGAAAAAAATGAGATGGATAAGAGCAAAACTGTAAAGTAATCTAAAGTATCAGATTACAGCACAATGCATTACAGTTTGTTTCTTTACCTGTAACACCTAGAGCACAGTAGCAATTTTAGTTGAGAAAAATTTTAGCTGGCAAAATGAAACATTTATTTGAACCCAAGAACTCATACTGGCAGCTTTTTAATCATGACAACTAAAAACTTGCATTGTCCTCTATTCTTCAGGTAATGAAACTGTTGTTTTTCAAAATAGAAGAAATTCAATTAGACAAACAGGCTAGTTTATAGTTTATATTGGGTTGTTCAGAATAAAAATATTGTTTTTCCATGGAAAAAAAACNAGATCATTGATTATTCCGTTTTATATGAATTCCATGTTGTACGAGTCACTTAAATTTTACAAATACGTGACCATTCACAGCCCGGTACACGTATGTGTAAAATCTAAGTGACTCGTACAACATGGAATTCATATAAAACGGAATAATCAATGATCTTATAGGGGGGTCGACTGTATGAACATTATATTTATATTCTTCGTTATTTTTGTATTTTCTAATTTTTATTTTATTTTTTCATGTTCCCTTTTATTTAAACCTCATGTTTTCTATTTTTTGAACCTAATATCACATTTTTGAATATGAAATCAAATTCTTTACGTTATGTTAATTAACATTACAACATTATTTTGAATGTTATGTAACTAAAGATAATCAGTAAATTTTGGTCAAAAGCATTAAAACATTTTTATTCTAATAAAGCTCTTCTGGAATTTCAAAAGTTGGATTTTACTTGTTTCATCAAAATGGATTAAGTTCCCAAAAGTAAGTCTGAGTTCATTTTTGTCACTCATATTTTACAATAAATTTGCCTATTTTCTGTAACCTTTTTTATAGAAATATCTGATATAATATTTTCAAGATCACCTTTAAGTAATTTTAAAGGTATAAGGTTGATATTATAGAATAATTACAAGTAGATGCTTTGTATTTAATTGTAGATTAGAAATTAGTTAGAAATAATATGTAAGCATTTTAATATAATGTTAAATTAAAAACAAAATCACTTACTCAATAATAAACCAGCCCACCATATCCATTCTTTCAAATAACCAAAGCCACCTAATCCTAAAAAATTAAAAAGAATTTAATCATAATTTTGAAATATATTTTTAAACTTCTTTCAATCCTTTACTATGATATACCAGCATGCTGGTTTTTACTATATGGAAATACTTAATTTCATAGTCTCTCCAAATAGACCAATATGCTGGACAATCTGCAAAAATACAGTATAATATATTATAGCATAAATCAAATATTATAATATACTCTACGATTATTGCAACAAGAAAGATCTAAACCTAATCGCTGACACTGTATTTGGGCCCCATATCACTAAAAATAACACATGTATTTAGAAGGCATGGTTTTATATTACCTGTAGCCCTTCAACCAACACTACAAAGATTATTGTGCAATGATAGAGAGACACTCACATTGAACAAAAGATCGGGGTCTATAAAATTCTGTTAAAGTATACATTATCAGGGGAAGAAATTTTCTACATAAGAGCTAACACAAGAACGCTATGGTCCTGCATCTTGGATCATCAAAAAGAATATTAAAAATAATAGACCAGAAACAGAATTAGCAAAAAGACCAGGATTATCTTCCACTTTGGGACCACACTAAATTGCTCAAACATTGCAATAATCGTAGAGAAATATTCATATGAGAGAACCTTTACATATCCACAGTAATGCCGTGCAATGCACCGACATTGGAAATACCACAGCTGTGGATAACATTATTTAAACAATCCAAGTTATAACTTTGCGTTCTAATTTATACCACAGCTACACATGCACCATTACTAGCTATTTATATATTTTTGGGGAGATTACATCATAACAGCACATTTCTATAAAAACATTTAATTATTTCAATTTTAATGTTTTATTCTATATTCCATCTAAGTGCATTAAGTAATTTGAAAAGTCCTTTAAAAAACTGATAATTCGATAATAAATGTATTCGATTTTCACTTAAGGATGATGGCTGTAATTTGTTGAAAATACTTGTGAGTACATCTGAATTTTAACAAATTGCTGTTAGTAATGCCACAACACGGAAGTATAATTTATTTATTTAAAACACTAATAAAGTGAATTCTTGTGTTAAAGCAAATGTGAGGACCCAGAAGGAAGTTACTGTAGAGGTCTGAATGGAAACTATCAATCAAGAAATAAATAAAATCCCCTTTCCAACTCAAAAGGGAGAAATTAAAGATCTTGATTAAACAATGGAAGTTTTTTTTTTATTTAAACAATAGAAAATACTAAAGTCAAAGGAAACATGGCTGGAGAGAAGTCATATTTAGTTGCAAAACTGACCTCTCCCGCGCCCTCCAATCAATTTCGAATTGTCACCAGATGATGAGTTGGGACCAATGAAAAGGCAGCTTTAAGCGAAAAACTTATAAAACTGCACGTTTCAAGGACGGGAAGTTCTTGGTTCATAGTGCTCCCCTCCTGGATTTTGTGCTCCTGTCCTTCAACAATGAAGGCTTGTTCGACACCCTAGAATTCATTTTCGCTATCTCATCCCATCAAGATTCACCCAAGTACAACTGGTCATTGGAGGTCATCTCTGCAAGTTGTGCTGTGTGCCCCAGAGCCATTGTTCTCCTCGTCACCTTCGCCAGAAGAAACAAAACGATCGCTGGAACATTAAGACGTTTTTTGAACTGACTTGTTTCCCACCATTGGATAAGCATTACGCCTCATTATATGAATACAGTTTAACCTGCTTATAACGTCATTCATGGGACCGGCAATTTTTTGACGTTATAACCGAGTGTCGTTATCTGCGGGGTCATAATTTCAGTCCCATAAAAGTATCAAGTCTGTTTAAGAATCTATTATAAAATTCATCTAATTTAATATTGTATGTATAAAAGTGCAAACTAAATATTTAAATCAACTTTATTTACATTATTATGTCTAAATTTACAACGATGTAATTAAAAATTTCAAAAATTATTTTTTATAAGAAATTTTTATTTGTCAAGTTTCGATAATGGCGGCACTTTCGG